ACCTAACCTTTTTCTTTGTTAAAAGGTTTTTTTTTTCCTTTCAGAAAAGGGAAGACTTCAGGTATATGAAACCTACTTTTGTGTAAAGTGTGTTATTGTTCTGTACAGGATATCGTTCATGAAGCTGGAGAAGACTGCTAAAGCAGTTGTAAAGTTGCAAGAAACTAAGTAAAGAGATGACAGCAGTTAGTTTTAAAATAGGATTATACAAGTCTTGAAATCTAATGAACGTTCCAAGAAGTATTCCTGGCGTTCCTTTTGCTGAATATTTTTGTTCCTGTCCACAATCCAGAAATTGGAGGCTATTGACTAAATTTGGCAGTGAAACTAAATTGGCAGTTCTTGTCAAAGCAGGTAGGGGTTAGACTGTAATACAGTAAGAATTTGGTTGTCTTAAGCATGCGACCACTAGAAAATTGATGAAATTAATTTATGTAGAAGAACAAAGTCAGGTTTTTGCTTATAAAATTGATGATAAAGCAAGAATTTTGTCAGCTGTCAACAAATTAGCAGGAGAAAAGCCCTTGATGTCCCGGTTAGTCATGGAATGACTGTATGTTCTCATTGAGGTGGCAGATTTGAGTCTAGCTTTTATTATGCAAAGTATTTCCAATAGAGACAGAAAAGTAATGGTTTGTGCTAGATGATCTTGTGATCTCAGGAATGCTATATACTTTTCAGGATACGTGTGCTCAAGAAGGCTAAAACCAGACTATAACAGGTGCAAAGGAATGCTATGATAGTTCGCAGACTTTTTTTTTTTAATTGTATCTGCTGTCTTCTGTGACAGTGCTTCCTTGTTCTCCTTTCTCTCTTCTTGCTCCTCCAGCATGTGGTGAATGCATAGAGCTCTCAAAGTGGAGGCTGCAAAAGAAAGCAAGAAGAGAGATCAGTTAGGGACCCCAATTAATGTGCCCTTTCTCTCCCACACTGAAGCATGGAACAGAAGCTGTGTGTGGTCTCAGCCTCTGACAGGTGTAAACATAACCTTGCAGGAGAATAGCAGAGGTTGCAGGAGAATAGAGGTGCTTGGGGAAGGAGAGATGCCAAACAGTTAGTGTCAGGCCGTGCAGTATATTCTGAAGGTTTCAGTTCTTGTATTTGAGTGTGTGTGCACACGTGAAGGGGTGAGAGAGCAATAACTAGGGTTGCGTGCTGTCTAACTCCATTAGGTGTAGTCCTCTCTTTGCAGCCAGAAGGGCAGGGCCTTCATACACCTCCCTGCAAAATGAAGAGTAGACTCTTGTAGAAGAGTTTGATTGGTTTAGCAGAGCTGTTAACTTATGTGGTTTTGTTGGCAGAAGAGGAAATGGGTATGAAATGATGGTGATGCTTGGGCTGCAGATCTGAGAAGTGGCTTTTGACTTGTTAGAGCAGCGAGGTTCTGGAATGGCCTTAGCCACGCTTGGCCTTAAAGCATTAGTGGCAGTAAAACACTGTTCCTGAACAGAGGTCTGTTAGTGCCTGAGACGGATTTTAGGGTGTAATACCTGAAAGAGAAGAAACAGGATGGGATCCAGGAGGTCCCTTCCAGTCCCAAGGATCAGCATACGCAGCACTAAGTTTTGAGGCCTCTGGGTCCTCAGCTTGGGGAGGAAAGTACAGTCGCAGTTACATAAGGGGAACTGAGAGTTGGAACAGGACGATTATGTGAGGCTTTGTCTTCTGTCATCCCTTCCTCACTATTGTGTTCTCAACCCTTCTGAAGGGACCCTTTTGCTATCCACCGGCAGCACATGAATCGCATGCTTTCTGGAAGTTTTGGATTTGGCCCGCTGCTTGGCATCACCGATGGGACCACACCTGGGGCTCGCCAGCCTGGTCGTAGAATGCAGGTAAAAAAAGGGGCTGAGTACAGCGTTGGCTTTCTTAAACTGCCTGGTTAGTTTTTGTCTTCTACCATGACTGGGTTGGGCCTGCCCCTTACCTTCTCTAAAACAGTGGTGTTCTTGCATCTTTTCTTTGCTCCACTCTAATTAATACATTTCTTGGCAACTATGTTCTAGGGTGAATGGGAGGAAAGGAAGAGAGATATACAGTTTCTCAAGGCCCTAAGTCAATGTAACTGGGAGAAAGTTATGAGCGTCGCTTCTGTTTGTGGTTTTTTTTGTTTTTTTTTTTAGGGGTGGTATAGTTTGAACTACCATGGGTTTGTGGGGTACTTTCTCACGCTATTTGTTGGACCTGAGTGTTACCAGTTTTATTTCCAGAAAGAATGAGGGTGTTTTGAGGAGGTTTAATAGTTGGACGTTGCGAGGTCATTCTTTATTCTGTTTTTCTGTCGTCCCGGCAGGCAGGAGCTGTCTCACCCTTTGGAATGCTGGGCATGGTGAGTCTTCAGTTTTTCTGAGTTCTTTTCCCTTTCTTTCAGGAGGGCAGAAAAGCCAGAATTTGGGGTTGCTGTTCTCCCAGTCCCTCAGGTTTCATAAGATCACTAGATCTTATTTGAGGCTTCACAGCTAGTGGCTCTTTTGAGTCAGTGCTCTGTGCAAGCAGTACTAAAATGTAGCATCTGCGAACAAGACTGTCTTAACAGGCGGTGAGGTTGGGAAGGTGAGGACACCACAATGAGCTTTAGATTTATAATAAATAGTGAAGAGGATATTGAACTGAAACCAAAAGCAGCTGGTTTCTCTTGGAGCACTTTCACTGACTTGCTGTATAATTTCAGGCCACTCTCTTGTTTGCTCTCTAATGTTTTAATCGAGTCTATGAGCTGTTTTAGAGGTAAGATTCTTACTCTACGTTTATATTGCGGGATTCTATTTAAACCTCAAATAGAGAAGAGTTCTAAAGCTGTTACAGCATAATACTTCACAAAAAAAGGGACAGATAATATCTAGGAAGAGCAGGTAGACTCTTATTAACATCGTGTCTCTAAAAAGAAACCGAGGAGCTCAGTTTGGAGCTCCTGGAGGACCTGTGACAACTCAGGGAGAAGACTCGGCCATTGTTACGCAGAGGTGATCATTGACCCTCCTTGGCCAGCAGTGGAAGATAGAAAAGCCAACAGAATGTTTGAGGTGAACAGGCATGGAATGAGGATGTCTGTAGGTAAGTGAGCATTGTTCTTGGATTGTATGGATTTTCGTCATCCTCTAAAATATAAGGGAAAGGGGTTACTCCAGACTTCAGCAACTTCAGCTGATTTGCTTTGCAGGATTGCCTCAAAGAAAAAGGTTAAGCGTCCTGGAATCGTTCTAGCTCTGAGAAGGTTTAATAGACTTCAAAGGATAGTAATATTACACATGATTGTTGGTCCTCTGAAAACAAGAACAAGAGGCTCCTCAAAATAAAAAATCAGCAAGTTTAAACTGACATAGTAATTTTGTTTACATGTTGCACAATTAACCTGTGATACCTGCTGGCCCAGTATATTAGCGAAGCCTTTAGGTTCACGAGTTTAAAAACAGTCAAGTGTTTATAGGGAAAATAAGACAACTTGTTATTATGTTAGAACAAATGCAACCCACCGAAACATCTTTGTGGTTTAAATCATGGGTTGACAGTGAAGAGGTTAAAAGGTCCACAAGGATGGCTGTTCTATAGTTAAGACCATTGTTCGTGCACATTCTGAGTTTTCTTCTTTTAACTTTGCTGTATACAAGGACTCATGAACCCCAGTGCATCAGTCATCAGACCCAAAGAAAAAACGCCCTTAGCCCTATCCAGGGATCTTGAGATCCAGAAAGTTTGGGTTATGGAAGCTGAGGGATTGGGGAGAGCAGCAACCCCCAATTCTGTCTTTTCTGCCCTGTTGAAAGAAAGGAAAAAGAACAAATTTTTTCTTCTTAGGCAACAGTTTTATGTCCTCTGCGGATAGTTTGTTGTTCTTTCCTCCTGTGTCCTTCCAGACTGACTGTTCCTGTGCTCTATTTTTCTTCTTCTCAGACAGGTGGCTTCATAGATATGTTTGGAATGATGAACGACATGATTGGAAACATGGTAAGAACCCTCCATAAAATGGTTCGTGTTAAGAAGAGCACTGAGAGTGCTCCTGCCATCCTGTTTACTATCTTTCATTTTATAATGATTCTTTGGTATTGGCCGTGCTTAAGCCGCCAAGGTGGCAGAGGCTGTAACCGTGGCTTGCTGACCAGGCTGGAGCAGTGGAAAGGTTGTTCCTGGGGCATGCCCGCTGAGTGCAGGGAGGGAGATGAGTGAGGAAAGAGGTGCAAGAGTAGACTTGTTCAGCAAGGAACCAGAATTAATTTACTAGGAAGAGGTATTCTTCAGAAAGATGGACCCATGGGGACTGTACTCTTCCTGTTTGTAATGTCTTACCACTTTGTTTTACAGAGAGAGAGAAGTAACTGGCATCTCTTCTTCCCTCCCCTTCTTGTCCCTTCTCTGTACTATTCTCCCCGTCTTTCAGGAGCATATGACAAGTGGTGCCAACTGCCAGACATTTACCTCGTCAACTGTCATCTCCTATTCCAACCTGGGCGATGGACCCAAAGTCTATCAAGAGACCTCGGAGATGCGTTCGGCACCTGGCGGGGTAAGGAGGAGATTGGAGCGTGTCTACCGAGCATTAGGCAGCTGGTTTTGCTGTGGGCGGAAAGACTTAATTTCATGGCGTGGTGCTGGCCACCCACAGCAGTTCTGCTTTGCAGTCAGTTGCTGTTTGAGGAACTCGGTGTGACTCGCTGAACCACGCTGAGGGCCATTGGGAGGGGATAGGAAGTACTGGCGGAGGGAATCCTTTTTTCCCCTCGTTATTATGTTGCTTCTGACATTCTGGGAGTGGCGGCGCTGGTATGTGACTGAAATACTGCAGGAAAGAATAGGAGAGCCTAATGGGGCTGGGAGAACGAACCAAAGTGTTATCCTGCATGGGAATCTGTCTGCAGATCCGTGAGACTAGACGGACTGTAAGGGATTCAGACAGCGGCCTGGAACAAATGTCTATTGGACACCACATCAGAGAGCGAGCCCACATCATGCAGCGATCCCGGAACCATCGTACAGGTGACCAGGAGGAGAGGCAGGACTACATCAATATGGATGAAAGTGAGTACTGTCTGTGTGCTTCTCACCAGCATACCCAGGTGCCACTTTCCCACCTCCTTCCCAGCTGAGCTTGTCCTTTCCTTATGTAGGTGATGCAGCTGCATTTGATGACGAGTGGAGGCGAGAGACATCTCGTTTCCGGCCGCAGAGGGGGCTGGATTATCGACGTCATGAAGGCGGTAATGGCCGCCGGGCTGAGGGGACTCGTCTTGCAATCCAGGGCCCTGAGGATTCTCCCTCCAGACAGTCCCGTCGGTATGACTGGTGAACGCAGAGCAGACTTTGTAGGGGGTGCAGTGTTGTCACCCCCAAATCTACCTACACGCTCTTGTAAGTCTTAACAAGTTTTTCTCATCTTCCACTGTGTGGTTGCCTCTTAGCCATATGATTTTTCTTTTCCTTGCCCGGTCTTGGCTGGAAATTGGTTTTCCCACTTAATCTGGAGAGCAGAGGAAGATGGGTGTTTTGAGTGGGGAAAGTGGAAGCTGTTCAAGTTAGCTTTGTCTTCAAGAAAAAAGTGTGGCGTGAGCCTTAAATGATAGTTGAAATAGTGTGAAATGATGTGGGAATCACAATCTCTAGAGACAAGCAGCTAATGTTTATATTGTCACTGTATGGAACTTAGAGCCCCTTTATAGTCAGTCCATCTACTTTTAGAGATGGAATCCAGCTGAGTTTTGGCAAGGCAGATAAGTGCTGGTGTCTGCTCTCTTGTGTTTTGAATGGGGTTCACTAGGATGTGATCTAGTGCTTGGAACGGGGGATTTGTTTTTATTCTTTCAACATCAAGTTTACACTTGTCTTTATCTACCTTCTGTGCTGCTTTCTAATCACCACTCTTTTTATATTCTCACTTTGTTTCCCTCGCTCCCAGGTACAGACAGTGAAACTCTGAAGCCCCTGCAAAGCACCACTTGGACCTTCCTCAAATTTAATATTAACCTCCCCCTCCACCCTTAAGAGTCTGAAACAAAGCAACTAATCTTCTGCATTGCTCTTCTTGCCCCATTTGGGTGCTACAGTAGGGCATGGAGAATCTCACTGACGTGCAAGGAACGCATTCATTGCCCATCCCCTTTCTGCTCTCCCTTGGTTCTGTTCTTTCTGCCATTAGTGGTGGGCATGAGGAGCTGCTGCCTTGCCTCTTCCATCCTTTCCACTTTTTCTGTGCTGGGTTGGGCTGGTTCTGAAGTTTGTATTTAGTCCCCTGTGAAACAAAAGAGGAAATTCTGCTAGAACCCTGTGTTAGTCCCCTCACTGGGATAAAAGCTTCTATTCCCCTCCAGCTCTTTGGTGCAGCTATGGAGAAGCAGAAGGATGTGTATGATAGGGAAGGGAGGAGCAGAACAAAAGCTGGACCAGCCTGTTGTCCCCCTGGCCCCTATTCAGACAGCTCCCCTACTTTTTTAATTTGTGAAACTTGTAACTAGATGTTTACTGAATAAAGAAACAAACTGTAAAGAATTGTTGGATCACTTCTTGCCTTCTGCTAATTTAAGTGTGCCTGCTGTAGAACTAAGTAACCTCTTTCATATCCTTGGGAAATTGGAAGGAAACTTGGTGTCTAACGCTTTTTTTTTTTTTTTTTTTTCCCCTGTAAAGCCTTCCCCTGTAGTTACAAAATGATGAAATAGTACATAATGACAACGTGGAAGTTGTAAAAGAAAACCCGGGAACCCACCACATGTAAAAATACCCTTTAATTGCTGTCGTTTCACAGTGCCCTCCAAGGGGATTTGTTGGTGTTCATTGCTTCCTCATCATCCTATGCAGCCCTGAGCGGGCTTCTGGGATCCCTGAGCAATCTAGGGACTATCTCCGCTATTTTCTCATTATTTCTCTGCAGCTGAGGCTGATGTTGTTTGAGGCTCTTATTAATGGTCTTTTCTTACTTCTTCGGTATTAGGTGAAACTTAAAAAGCATTAGTTAGAAAGGCAGCCATTAGGAACACAGGACTGTAAAAGATCTCCTGGGCTCTTGAGGCAGTTCGCTGCCACAGCAAACACTGCTATGTAAACCCTTTCATAAATGTGTTTGGAACAGAACAAAGGAAATGATGCGTGACTTAAATCTATTTGCACATGCTGTGCAGGATCTTCCTAGGTATTCCCATGCTGTACATCTGGGCGCTAATAGGGTGATAGGCACATCACTAAGTACCGATTCTCTTGCCTTGAAAATAGGATGTAGAATCTGGCCCCTTAAAATTTGGAGTTCTCACGTGCTCCAGCCTTTAGGGAAGCACAGAGGCTTAGCTGAGGGCAGGCTGTGTCCCCACATCCACGCTTTGACCTGTCCCATAGAAAACCCCAATAAGGTTAGAGTCCTGTTCTTTAGGTGACAGCTCACCAGGGCCTCCATATCTGGGCTGCAGTTGGAGCGGTCTCCAGTGTCTGGGAAAGCGAAGGGAGGAAACTTGGTTGAGACAGTGAAGTAAGCGTTGGAGGAGGATAAGCCAGCTGCCTCCTGGGAGTTGGTTGAGTCTCTGCAGGTGTCATAGTTAAGGCAGGTCCTGAAGACAGCAAGCCCGAAGGAGCAGCTACCTGGAGAAAAGCAGGGCTTTGGAGGGGTTTAGTGGTGGGCAAGTCACCTTGGGGTTGCCAGACTTTGGGAGAAGGAGCTGGAGCAATAGCAGCCTTCACCTTGGTGGTAGTCTCCAGCTGACGCAAGATGTGGGATCTGGTGTTTTGATCCAGCGAAGAACCAACTGAGCTTAGAAAGGTGCTTACAGCGTTGAGACAGTGGCGGTAACCAGCAGCAAAGTCCTGGCCGTTTTTTGAGACAATGTCTGAGAATGAGAATAGGGAGTGGACATAGCAGGGGGAAGAGTTAACTTCGAACTTTAAAGATGTGAGGATCCATCTGTTCTTTGTCAAGATCAGGAATTCCATGCCCAAAGACAAAAGTGTGGCAGCAGTGATGTTAGTGGCATAACTTGTTCTAACAGTGACTCCCCACAAACTGGAATGACGTGTAAGCAGCCATGCCTCTCTCTCAGAGAGACATAGCTTTATTTGGATTCAGCCCCTCTGCCCAGTTAGGTGCCACCCCAATTACAGATCTTGAACCACTTTCTGCTCTTGCACTCTGGGTGGGGAGGGGGAGGTGACAAGAAAAGATTTACCTGGCTTCTTGAGCCGTGCTAACTGCTGTACAGTCATTTCCAAGATCTCGGCCTTCTCCAGGCGTGACAAGGCTCTGGTATTCTGACAAAATGGAAAAGAGAGTCACTTAGAAAAATATCCTATGTTAATGATGAGAAGCAAAAGCAGGAGCCCAGGAGAGAGTTCTAGAGATTATGAATCAAAAAGTGTGTATAGGAAGTATATTGGAGAGCTCTCTCTTTTGCTAGTCTGCAGATTGTGGCAGTATGGAAACCTCTGACTTCAGGTTGTTTTTGAAAGAAGGGGGGGTAGTAAAGCTCCTTTGACTCCTCCAATCACAGAAGGCAGTTCTTTACCTGCTGCTCTGCTGTCTGCTGAAGAAGCCTTCTCAACTGCTCCAGGCTGGCATTAATCCGGGCACGGCGACGCTTTTCAATCAGTGGCTTGAGGGACTGGCGAAGAGGAAAGAAGGTAAAGGTGAGGAGGAAGACTGCAGATCTGTATCTCGGTGGGAATAACATCTACTGTCATTGCTGCCTTTTGCTGAGTCAGTACTACTTGGGGCTTTGGCCAATACCCTGGTTTGATTAACATTGACTAACTCATCACTGAAGTAGGATGTTGAAATCCAAAAGAAGGGCGTACAGAGCATTGCAAGGAGACGAGAAAAAGCTATGCATGCACAACCGTTCAGTTATTCCTCTTCTGTCTTTAGGCATTCTCTGAGGAGCTCTAAGTTGTTTTAAGTAAGCAGGTGTAGTCTGTGTGCGCAGAAGGTGCACTGCTTTAATTGAACTGTCTGAAAGCAAGAACACCCACACAGTTAGAAAGCCCACTTTTGGTTAAACCACTATAACTTCTGCATTTAGACCACACCAAAGTTTGGATACTTTTTCCCCCCTAATCTTGGCACATTCATTACAGTTTCAAGTAGGAATGGTTCCCTATTACAAATAGCCCGTGCGTTGTATCAGGGCAAGCTGAAGGGCTGGGATGAATCTCGTACATTTCTGAGACTTCTATAAGAACTCCTCCAACCAAATGGAGAAAGGTAAGATTGGGCGTTCCCAATATGAAAGTCAAAGAAATAAAGTTTGTGTAAGATGCAAAGGGCATGCTTCCGAGTCATCTTTATCCATCTGAAGAAGATAAAAGCAATTCTCACTCCTCTTCCCATAGCTATCAACTTCAAATGGGACTTGTTGAAGCATCAGAGCAATGCAGTTCAGTGGTATTTATGGGTCTTGCTGAAGAAATAGGTCTTCAGGTAAGGCACCTGAAAAAAGGGGGCCTGTCATGTCATGCAAAAAAAAAAAAAAAAAAAAAAAAAGGTAAGCAGAATGAGGGGTAATGGAGAGAAGCAGGAAACCCTGGCAGAAAACTGAACGAGATGGGTAACATAACCCAAGATTAGCTACACGCAAATAGAATATAGTTTTAATCAGTAATATTAGCTTAAGGTAAAAGACTGGCAATCCAAACAGTTTAAAACAAACAAACAAAAAAAAAGGATATAACGGTTATGATGTTCTCACTCTCACCTTCTCAAAATTGTTCCTGTAATATTTTCTGATGAGATCATAGGTTGGGTTAACAAAAGCAATACAGAAGCTTAAAGTTATGCCAGCACAAGGTAGCTAACTTAATCATGCAAGACTATTCTCTATTTTAAAAAAAAATTAACAAGGGGACAAATATTACAAATTCTAGTTGACTGATAGTTTTCAAAGAACGGAACCTAGCATAGGGAAATATTTCTAGTGGGATGCTATTCTGAAACTAATGCTCATTAGTATCTTGATTAATGGTCTGAAAGAAGGTATTAAACCAGTTCTGATGAAACTTTCAGAGGACACAAGGAAAGATGAAGGTGATAAATGATGGGAAAAGATGAGCTGCACAGAGCCATCTATATCCATTGGTATGGTGTTTATTTATAAACAGTAAGTATTTTTGGCTGCACTGAAAGCAAAAATACATTCATCTGGGAACATAAATGTAATCTGTGCTCTTTCAAGATGGAGGACTTGTCTTCTGGAAGCTCTGGAGGGACTCCAAAAAAGGATTTGGGAATTGTGAGATAACCAAGTTAACCAAGGATGTTACTTGCATATTTCTTCAGCTGTGGGGATGGGTTATACTTGGATGCATTAGCCTGGGGACATCAAGTAGGGAGATTTCACCACAATAGTGAAACCAGTGCGTAAGCACTGGCTAATCCAATACCAAACATTAGAAGGACTCAAGAAGGGAGCAGCATGGATGACTTGAAGCCTGGAAAAGCTGACTGGCACCATAAGATTCAATGAACTCAGGCAGTCTAACTTGAGCATGGGCTGGCATTACCTATATGGGGATGAAGTTTCTAACGGTAGAGGGCTCTTCAGCCTGGCAGAAAACCTGAAGCTACCTAATGCTGCAAATGGAAATGAGGTGCAGACTTTCGGTAGAGCGATGATTAGACCAGTGTATGTGGCTTCTCCAGCTTTTGCTATTCCTAAACCTAGATGGGATGTCTCAAGCCGAAGTTAGCTGATACAAGAATTGCGTGAGCTAGTTCTTTGCTACGCAAGAGGGCAAACTACGTGATTATACTGGTCCCTTCAGGCTTTAGAAATCTATGAATTGGAGAGGGAGCAGTGCTAGGCTGCCGGGAAATGTGGGAAGCAGAAGAAGAGAACTGGTGACTTTGCAAATATTTCAAAGAGGACAGGAGAAAAGCCCAAGTTGCAGGAAAAAGATATCTGTTGGCACAGCGTTCTGCTTGGGAAAGAAATGCGTACTTGGGTGAGGAAAGAGTATAAAATCCCCAAGACAAATGCCATTAGACTCCAGTGGTGGGGAACAACAGGATTTAGACTAGACCTCAATATAGAGTCTAGCTTAAAATCAGCTGCAAGATTTTGCAATTATTGTTAAATTTCCAAAATTTTCTAAAAAAAAAAAAAAAAAAAAAAAACTTGACTGTATTTTTGAACCCCAACTTAAATGTAACTAAGTATTTTTTTTTCCTCCAGGCTGGAATTTTCTTTTTTAGAGACAACATTTCAAAAAATGTCCCCATGGGGAAACTCCATTTAGATTATCGTTACTTCCACTATCTCCTTACATCTGGCTGTTTTGGCTGACTAGTTTATAAATCCTGGGGATGCTTGATAAAAGATTTGGGGCCTGGAGGGGAAGAGGAATGAAATATATGCTACTTATCTCCAGCTGCTAGTGCCACAGTGATCAGAGGTAAGCTGAAAGCAGAGATACTAGCCTCATAATATCCATCCCTTATTAATAGGAGGAAAAGCAAAGAAAAATTATTAAAAAAAAAAAAAAGGATGCATTGCCAAACTGGATCAGTGTATTACACAGGAGGAAGTAGATGGTCTTAAAGACCTCACTAACAGAAAAGGGATTGAAGTTAGTAGCCCAAAGTCAAACATAAAGGCACATAGGACTAAAATCAAGACTTTCTTGGCTATAAACTAGAGTTTATTTGATTATAAGCAGCAGAAAAGAAGAAAGACTCAAAATCACCGGTCAGTCATATGATGACTGTAAGCATCTACTGAGGCACCAAGGAAAAGACAAATGCAATCAGGAAGGTATTTCTAGTAGCTATAGGTATGTATTACTGTTGCTGTGCAAGATGCTGATATGACTTCACCTGTGGACAAGGACTGTGTTTGTTTCTAGCCAAGAAAGCTGAGTTCAAAGAGCAAGTAAGAGCTTGTAGGATGGCCTGTGGCACAGAGAGCTCACCAGGTAAGAGAGGACTGGTTTGTTTAGTTAAGCAAAGTGAAGTCTATACACAAAGGAGATAAATACTAAGGAGGAAGAAGAGCAATTTAAGCTAAAGCCACATTGGCACAGCAACAAGTGAATACAAATTAGTTGTGAATACATTTAAGCTGGAAATTAGAAAAAGTTTGTAACCACTACAGCAGGCAGATTCTTTCAAGAATCTGAAAGAATTCTTTCAGATTCTGGGGCAGCCTTTCAAGAGAACTAGTGCAGACAATAAAATTAACCAGTTTTGGGTCAGCAGTTGAGAAATTTCTGCAAGGGATTGCAACACAGCACCTGCAACAGGACGAGATCCCATTCTGCCACCAGGAGGCCCCATCTTGTTTCTGTTCCTACCAAAGAGAACATCCTTCTTCCCTCAGTGCTCTGAATCCATTGCTAAAGGCTTCAGAGGCAGCTGCAGGGAATCCTGCAGGAGGCAGGGCAAAGTAAGCCTTTCCCAGACATATTTTCTCCTGATCTGAACTGGCTGGAGCTTCATTGTGTCTCAGAGCCGGAGAGCCTGGAGTTGTTTTTAACACATGCACAAACACAATAACAACTCTGGACATTCTTGTTATCCATATAAGGTGCACAACCCTTGAGTCCTGCTGACGTTTCAGTATCTATTGAATTCATCACAATGTGAACATAACTGCACATTGCACAAGAATTTTGTTGCAAATGCACTCCTTTCCCCTGGCCGGCAGAGATTCTGCCACCAGCTGTTCCCAGAAGAGATGGCAGATGAAAATCCAGTGCAGTCCTACATTGCTCTGGCAGGGATGCTCCTGAAAAACTGGAGCAGTCATGGAGAGAAACATCCAAGAAGTGGGTGGCTGAAGAACCTGTAGTGAACCTGAGCGGTTTTGCCGAGTATTACAGATAACCAGCTGAGCAAGGACTAGTACTAGGAAAAGGCCTCTCCAAGGGGAGACATTAGTAAGACCCATTCTCCCTACCCAAGCAGTGCTGTTCTGCACCTTTAACTTCACTTTGGGTTGTACACCTTTAACTTCAAGCCCACGCCAGAACTAGCACAACCCCTCCATGCAAACGGGTTACCTTGGCTTCCTTCTGCCCTTATTTTTATTTCGACCTCATTTCTCCTCTGTTCCTTCCATCCCACTGGCCCATTTTGAAGGAGGATTTCCACAGCGCCTCCAGCCAGCCAGGGCCAGGAGGGGAGATGGCAGAGGGTGCCAGTGAAGGGCACAGACTGGCACCCTGGGGCAGCACAGCCAGGCACCTTGGGGCAGCACAGGGGCCCTGTGAGCCTACCTGCCCCGCTCCACCCTCACCTTCCTGCAGAGGCTCCGTGGGGGCTCAGTGCCCTGTGTGGGGTCCCCGCGCTGGCCCCGCTCCTGCGCCTCCTCCATGGCCTGTCGTCGTGCTCCTCCGGCCAGCGGCGGCCTGGGCTCTGCTCAGCCCCTCTCGGACCAGGCTGGGCTGGGTGTAGGGGGAGGGGAGAGCCGGGGGCCACCCCCGGCGCTGGGACGCCTCCGGGAGCCGCCCTGCAGCCCGCCCCCGCCACGCATATCCCTCTCCCAGACCTCAGTTATTCAGCCAAAAAGGGCATCGGAGAGGGGTGGAAGGGGCAGCCTGGGCAGAAGGCTTCTCCCCTCCTTTCAGTATTTGATGGGAGCCAGCTTGGTCTGGCTTCAAGCTGGTGAGGTACAGGAGAGCGGGCTGCTGAGAGATGGTGTCCCTGCTTCAGGCACTGGCCCCAGGGATGGGGAAACTAGCTGTACTTCAAACTGGAAACGCGTCTTTGATCCTTTGGGTCATGTATGTCCTAAACCAGGCCTTCTGAAACCTGCTGTCAAGAGTCTTTCCCCTCCTCCCCCTACAAACCCTGCACAAATAAGGTTAGGTCATTTTTGACAAACACTTTGATATGCAATAGCCCATCTGAGAAAACCCTCATTTGGCTCATTTGGGGATCAGAGACAAGGGCAGCCTCAGCTACCTTGGCTAACAAAATTGCCATTGCCTTCCATTGAAGGGAGCCCTTTTGAAAGCTATTAAACATAAAGACGCCATCTCTGACTCCGTAAGTCCTCGAGCACATCTCATTGGAGGATAGGAGAATACATGGGCAAGTTCTGCAAGGTGCTTGCCATGTTCTCATGCTTTTCCCTGGTCACCAGGTATAGACCACTGCTAGAGGTAGGATGTTGGGCTTCTTGGACCTTCACTGAGACCCAGTACTCTGTTCTTACGACTTACCCATCTCTTTGTCCTTCATCCTGGACCCCTCTTGAACACCCACCCCCAACTATCCCTTGTACTTCCTACTGCAGCCTGACTCCCCACCACCACCCTCCCACCCCAGTCCCCTGAGGGGCTTAAAAGGGATTTTTGAGCTCTTCGCTGATAGCTGCTAATGCCTCAGCTTAGCAGAAGTGTGTGGCTGTAACCGATAGCAGGAGCCACGAGAAACCTGGAAGAATTTCTGCAGGGCCTGGGGGTGGGGATGAAGGGGGAGGGAAGGCTCACTGCAGCCTTAAAGCTTCCCAGTCAGGGGGGAGATGCTGTACAAGAAGAGGAACAGCCATATCCTTGAAAGAAATCCCCTGCCCCAACTAATTCAATAAGGAGAATTATTATCATTAATCCCAGTTCCCAGTAAGACTCTGGAGGTATTTCTTAGAACAAGACAGCTGGGGGAGCTGCTGACAAAATTCCGACTTCGCACTCCACAGCTGGGCATGAATAGGAGGTGGGGGACAGAGCAATTTGGAGTCTGTCCTACCTCCTGCCCTTCTCCCTTATTTGAACCCTGATGTCAAAGTCCTACACCAGTCCTATAATGCATAACAAGGAGTTGCAACAGATCACTGTTCAGGATTCCTTAAACTTGTATTGTCAGGGCTGGCAGATTTCCTGCTCCTAAAGCCAGGACTAACACGCATCTCCATATCCCCTCTTCTGCCATCCACCTAGCCTCATTCCTTTGCCAATGCTTAAGGTGTCATGCCTCCAGATCTTTGGGCTTGGCTCTACTCGGCCTGCTTTCTCAATCTTTTCTTTGGGAGAAAACAGGGTTAAAAACACACAGACATTTAAAATTAAAATGAAAACTTAAAATAATAATGCTCAGTACTTATCTCACTCTCACCATCTTCAAAGTGATTTACAAATGTTAACTAATTAATTAATCTTCACATCCTCCCTGAATGAAATTCAAAGTCATGGCTGAAGTGAGCAGGAAAATAAAAAGCCAGGCTTTTCAGGTGAAAGGTGAAGGAAACCTATGACCCTGCCTGGTGTTTGCCATCAGGCAAGGCAATTTGCAGCAATATTTTCCTTCTGCACTAAACAGCTCTCATTTATGTTTCAGTCATAAAAAGGGTCTAAAATAATTTTTATGCTGTCTTCTGTTTTCCTTTTTTTAATTGAGGTCTTAAAAGGTGTTCCCTTTGAAGTAAACAAAATGGAAGACTTTCAGGGCTGTGCAAATGCCCCTCGATCAAGTACATTTAGTCTGAAACTCTTCTGAAATCCACAACACAACCAGCCTTGAGAGGTGCAAAGACGAAAAAGGGAGGAGGGAGCAAGGCCTATGACTGCGCTTATCAAATGCCCTTACAGGAGAGTCGAGCTGAACCTTGGGCAGGGACAGAGGGAGGGAAGGAGGGGCAAAAACAGTGCCACAAAATAAAGTTATGGCTGAAGCCCAGAGGCAAACCTACACTGCCTTTACTAAGATAACAAACGCCTGCAGAGCCATGAGGATATCTGAGCCTTGGGTTTCAGCATGGCCTAGAAGCTAGCGTAACAAGGCCCCATTCGGGCCCCTGCTTCAGCCTGCCCTTTGCTTGCTATTAGCCAGGCACCCAGTTTCTGTGCTCCTCAGATTAAAGCAAGTAGGTGTATGTGAACTGACTCAGAGCTCAGTTGCTCCTTTGCATTAATGTGTGCACATGAAGGGTGCTCATATAAGAATATTACAGAGAATAACCAGCATGGAGCTCTTGGTACCAATTTAAGGAGCAAAATGGGCTTTTCTGACTCGACTTCTAGACTCTGAAGCCAGGATTTAAACTGTGGACCCAAGGTGTTTTCAAAAAACCTCCATACCTAATGCCCACAACGTGGTTAAAGAGAGCAAAGACTAACAAGTCAGAAAGAAGCCAAGAAACTTGGAACGCAGATTCTGGCACTGCTGGTAGCTCTGCAGGTGTTCAGTACACCCTGCTGCTGCTGTGCCAGGTAGTTATATCTCCATAAGTGGCAACGTGACTCTTATGAGGCACAAATATCCCCATCCATTACTGGTTACTTCAGATCTCCCTAGAGGTGCCACCGCTCCATCCCTATTACAGGGATTCATGTCAAAAGGTCGGAGTGACTGTGAAGTGCCTGGCTCCCTTTCCCCTTGGATCTCAACGGTCTTTTAATACTTGTGCTTTGTCTTGCTCTTCCGCTTCATCGGAGAGCCCATTCTTCGCTCTTTCCTTAGAATCACACTTCCAATGCCTTTACCAGAGGCTCCTCTTTCAAAGGGCACGACCTGCCACAGACATTTGGCAGGTGCTCAGGGCTTGCCAGGTATCACGTCCCCTGTTAGCACCTCCGACCCAGACTAGCCTTTCCTAAGGAGGTGGAGAATTTGATGCACACAGACATTACTGCTTCTCACAGACAATTGCAAATACGCAGAGTATGGTCACCTTCCCCCTCCTCCCAAGACAGACAAAGGTGATGTGCCGCAGACAGGAGAAGCCTCAAGATAATTTAAACAAAAGATAAAAGTATAATCACAGCCTCTCCCTGCATTTTATAGAAAACATGACTTGTCAAGTAAACTCACTATTGCGCCTAACTAGTCAGACCTCTTCAGGTGATTTGGAGCAGAACAAGCTTAGCTCCCCCCTCACTCTCTCCTACAGCTGGATTTGCATCTTCTGCCTGAACATCATCATGCCAAGGCCCTCCTACTCAGCGCTTCCTTGCCAACCAACTACACCTAATAGGCTTGATGCACAGGGTCACAGAACAGGGGAGAGGTGTTGGGCCATGCAAGCTCTGAGCAACACCTCAGCCAGTGACAACAGTCACCCAGGAACAGCTTGACACATCCCTGTCCCTGGCACAACATGTTGGTATATCCCTGCCCTGTGACCCCCACACACAGACCTTGTTCACGGGCAGGGAAAGAAGCTGCTTATGAGTTTATGGGTTCACAGGACAGTGGGGTTTCCCAGTGAAGGTTAGTGCTGTGTTACAACAGTTGCAAATCAGTAAATAAAATGGCAATATGGCACAAATTAGCTTTTTGCGAGGCATGAGCACTGAGATGACATAACGCCTTACCACCATCAAAAGAGAGACGGTCTCACCCCCACCACAAATCTTGCTCCTATCTATACGGTCCTTATCTTCTGCCTTCACTCCGATTCTCACTGGAGCATCTGCATAGGAAGCTGAAACAGCTCGCTAACCCAGACAAAAATTAGCCCAGGCTAACGAACGGATAAAGTCTCACCCTTGCAGCCAACCACCAGGGCTTTTTGTTGTAGTTGTCAGATAAGTTTTCTGCCAGTTTGCTGACACACAGCAGTCCAGGTTCAGGGAATCAAACATTATTAGCACTGGCATAAAGCAAGAAGCAGAATCAAGTGGGGGCAGGATTCAATGTATGTCAACTTAGATCAGCTTCCATCAACAGCAGTTTGACACTCACATCTGCCTGACTCTGCATCAAGCCAGTCTCAGGGATGCATCCTCTGAAGAACCAGATGAGTTTTTCTGGTCATCTCACAGCAGTCAATTACATTAATGTTTATTTTCAACATAAACAGACATTACATCACCTAGGAACAGGTAAAACAGGATATATTCTACAAAGACTTACACTGATTGGCATTAACTAAGTTACTCTTGATTCTTTGTCACACAAGTACCATATCCCTTAATACTGACAAAAAAAAAAAAAAAAAAAAAAAAAAGAATGTTTTCCCAGTCTCTGCACCTTCCTAGTGCTCCGAGACTCATTGAAAATAATGTTTTGAAAATTCTGGATGCAAATAAATTACATAAGATAACTTAAGAATACCTTTTCTTCATTGATAAGGCAAAGGAAATCATTCAATAGGGCATCTCTCACCACCTAGCTTCTCCCCCTTCCTCTCTAAAAGTATCTTCCTCAAGATGTTCTTGCAGATTCACCAAAACTGGGGGATAAACGGTGCTATTAATGAATTAAATCCTCCCATGAGGGAGATGAGTGTTTCCTCAAAGTTCAGAAGCACTGTAAGGCCAGTCTTAGCCCTTCTCCAGATCAACAGCAGTTACAGATCCTAAATAGAAACTCCTCACATAAAAGCTACTTTTTATTCCTGCTTTACGGATCTTCAACCCAATATAGCTGCAGAGGCACTTCCCTTTTGTGCAGGAAGTGAGTATTTTGAGGGCATTCCATGCATAGATGGGACAGAGGTTTTCAATACCGGAAGTTATTCTGCTACATCCAGAATCAGCATGCATGAGGCATAATGAGACACCACTGCAGGAGCACAAGTTTGTATAGATATGTCCATAGATCTGTATTTTTATTATTTTTATAGATATTTATAATATATTTATATATATTTTTATGAAAGAATCCCTTCAAAAACTACCCTCCCACCCAGCAAAACAAAGATAAAACAATCAAAGATGGCAGCTGCATCCTGGAGCAAAGCGTCCCAGGGGTCTCATAGAGCCAAAACGATTGCTGAGCACCACACACACTTTCCAAGCTTCTGTCATGCCCTACTGGTGCAAAGGTGACTGGCAGCTCTCTGGCTCTTTAAATTTATCTGTCGAAAGACAAGGAGAGAAGAAGAGAGAGAAACATATGGTCGTGGTGATGGGGGCTTGAGGGGTAAGGGAAACAGCAAGGCATACAGCTTAGAGGGTAAAATGCTATGATAGAGAAGAGGGATAGACTGGCTGGGAAGGAAGAAGCCAGGAAAGAGAACAAACATGCAGGAGAATTAGTTGGAGAGATGGATCTTGGAGATGAGTTCAGAAGCATCACACTTGGGACCCTTGCTACCCTCCTTCCCCCCCAAAATCTCTCCCTCTCACCCTCCCAGTTGTGAAGGAGGATCCAACTAGTTTGATTTAGACCAAATCTTCGCGCTGCCCCGGAGCCTGTGGAGAGAGAGAACATTTCAGAGTGGAGTACTAAGGCTCATCCCCGACTTCCTTTTCCAAATGCACACAAAGGGGCTTCTCGGCAGCAGCAGGACAGAACACAAGGAAGGCTTATGAACTCGGCTTCAGACCAAGAACTGCACGCATTTCCCTCCAAATTAGTAGGAGGCAGAGCTCAGTTGGGACTACATCTGTGACCATCCCATGTCCAGGGAGCAGAGCCCTGCAGTCAGTAACCTCATTGCTTTGAAACAGCAATTCCATCAGTTCACTTCCTCAATATACACAGACAGTGGCTACGTTCAGTTGCCACCACTCCTCACCCTTTGGCTTTGGAAGTTTTCTTGCTAGCCTGGCGCTGGTTGGTGCCAGGGGCTGGCTCCCTGAGCTCTGTTAGGTGCTGTTCCGGGTCTTGGGATGTGGCTGCTGCAGCAGCTGCTGTTGTCTTTTTAATTGTCTTCTTCAGATTTGCCACCTGCCATATTGGAAACGCAAGAACCAAACAAACAGGTCAAACGAAAGAGCTAATGACTATCCAGATCTCTGTACTGTGGAGGAGCATTTAGCTGATTTAGAACTCTTCAGGCACAAACCCCTGGGGTCCTGGCCTAAGGGAAAGGCAATGCCTTACTTGAGCAAAAACAGTAACAACCACATGGTACTGTTTCCAGTCATTTTTAAAGTGAGTGGAACTGGCTGCTCCCTCCCTAGCCCACTCACCTCGCTCTCTATCTGCTGCTTAAGCGCCAGCTGTTGCTCTTTATGCTGGTTGGCTCGGCTAACCTGTTCTTCGATGCCCGACAAGACAACTTCACAGCCTTGGCACCTGTAGAGAAGACATAAGACTGAACGGGCCAGAAAGATTCGCATAGCACAGAAAGAAAAGTGAAAGACAACAGATTTCAACTCTAGAGGCCAATGAGACTGGAAGGTGATGACTAAACCAGGCAGGGAAGACACAGGAGGAGCAGTCCCATGTAATAACGTCGTGACACTATTACATGGCAGGGGGGGCAGGAGACAAATCACAAAGTGACGCTAGATTAGGAGCTATACAGATGTATACTCAGGAAGCCTCCTGCCAGGAACCACAACTGTGCAAAAGTTGCTGAGCTGTCATCACCCCTCCAGAAGCAAATAGGGGAAGTGAAAAATTATTTTCCATTGCCGTATGGGAAATGGGATTGAGTAGACCAACCTCAAAACACTACTCCCCTCAAAGAGGGGCAGAGAATCTGGGGAAGCCCCTGACAACTCCTTCAACCTTTTTAGGTGTTAGTATGGTGGGCTTCCTCCTCACCACTCCTGCAAGGTGCGGGTGATGGTGCTTAGCTCCTCCCTCCGGATGTCCCGCCCAATGCTGTAATCCACCTCCAGCCGCTGGTTCCGCTGGTCCAGGCTCCCGCGCAGCACATCCGCGTACACAGCCTCAATCACGAGGTCCTCCAGCTGCCGGACGTTCTTCAGCTGTAACTGTTCCAGCAGCACTGAATAGGGGATGCACTGTGGAAACAAGAAGGTAACTAGCATGAGCGAATCCCCACAGAAGAAGGACCGGGGGGAAAAACAGGGCTGTTACCTTGATCTTGGCAGCCAGAGTAACAACTGACAGGTGTCTCAGTTTGTTCTTCTGAGCCTCTGTCAAGGGAGGGGGGTTTGCTGCTTCAGCTATTCTCAAGGAAAAGAGGAGGGTATTAGACTTCACAAGTCCCAGTTTCTCTCTCCCAGCACTGCCACAGAAGCATCTACACCATAACCCTTTCCTAAGCCTTCTAGATACCAGTGTCCCAAGCAACGCTTTGCCTTGACAAGCCACCACTGGTACCTCGCAGCTCAGAAGAGCTTTTCTGAGCCCTCTTTCCTAGTCAGTTCAGTGCCGTACATACAGAGGCCTCCACGCCTCCATGGGCACCTAGGCCCTCTCCGTGGCCCCCTAATAAAAAAAATCTTCCTCAAGATGTTCTTGGAGATTC